TTTTTTTTTTTTTTTTTTTTTTTTTTTTTTTTTTTTTTTTTTTTTTTTTTTTTTTTTTTTTTTTTTTTTTTTTTTTTTTTTTTTTTTTTTTTGTCTTTTACAAGAGTGCGACTTTTTGTCCAAGATTTTTCTGATTTTTGCATGTGATCAGAAGAAAGATCGCTGAAATTTTCAGTCAAAAATATCTAACTGTTTTTTAACAGTGAATCGAAGTGGACCACGATAACCATACATGAATGAAATACAAAATCGAAATTTCGAAGGCCGTTAGAGGCAAAGATTGGACCTTCCGCACCTCCTTTGGTAATTACATACACTGGGGAAAAAAGTAACTCGGATCTAAAGTTCAGACTCTTAATAACATTGACAAGGAAAAATACTCTCGATTCGATCCGATTTTCCCTTAAATCGAAGACCTACCCTCTTGACTTAAGCGGATTTCCATTCGATTCAAGCTAAAAGTCCGATTAAATCAAGAGTATTTTTTCTTGTCAATGTTTTTAAAAGTTTGGACTCTAGACCTAAGCGCCTTTTTTTCCAGTGTGAATCGAGGGAGAAAAAAAAAGAAAATGACTGCATCTTGATATTAAAGACACAATTCAGTGCAATGGTCATTTTACAAGTCGGCAACACCGTTCTTCCGCCATTTAAATCCATTAAAAATATAGATTCGAATGATATTAAATGCCTCACCAAGAATCGCCTGTTTAACATACTTTCAAATGCAGGAGAAACAGTGTTGCTAACTTTCAGGAATCACCACCAGTGGCGTGGCGTGAATTGTGATGAATCGATTGTTATGCCATTTAAACCTATGGTAAAAAATCGATGGTTAAGGTGTTCGCTGCAAACACCCTGTTTATCGATCCTTTTCCATCGGTTTAAATGGCATGACAATCGATATATCGCAATTCACGCCACGCCACTTATCGCGACTGATTCAATGTGTGGAGAGAGAACTCACCGAGGGTTAAGTAGGAGAAACTGGTATCCAGTGACGGAGGCACGCCGTTCATTGCACACGCAGTGCACTTCACATTATGGAGAGCCAGATTTGACGGCTTGGTTTTTTTCTTGCGTCGCTCGGTCAAGTTGACATCGTAGTTCAATTTGGAGGAATCATGCTTTTCGCAAGAGCTGCTTTTCTGGGGCGACCTAGAAACACACGACCGGGTGCTTTAATTTTTACGATACATCATCAACTCTTAAACAGGCCTTCAAAATATCCGAAGGTATACACTGCCATGCTAAGGAAGAACGTTGTATGGACATTCGAGAGTTGCCAAATTTCCCTTGATAAAGCATGTATTTTTGACAACATTCACGAATATTTCTCCTTGAAATTTTCAGATATTTTAGATGAAATTGCGTACGAAATTGTCGGAAAATTTTGAAAAATTATATACACAATTTTCTCAGGAAATTCGATTTTCATCGAAAGAAACTTGGCAACGTCTGAAAGCTCATAATTTCTTCGTTAGCACGGCAGTACACCTCAAAACACGGTGTACACTCCGGCAGGCGCAGCGTAGGCAATTTGCACGTCGAAACGTATGTGTTTAGGTGTAGCGTTTGAAGTATTCCAGGAGGTTGAAGGCGAGATGTCGGATGCCCGCAGCGCTGGAGCGCCTTTTGTGGCTTGCGATAGTTCGAAATCCCGGTGTTTGCGAATTTAAGCAGAAAGAAGTAAGTGCATCCTAATTTTAAATCTAAATTTTCGTATATACGCCCATTTTCAAAATTCTCTGTAAAGACGTTAATAGCCTGTGACGCTGAATGTCTTAAAATTTACTAATTAACTAACTATTTTTTGTGGTAACTCTTCAAAAGCTTTGATTTGAATAAAACTTTATAAACGACTGCTCGTACATAAATTTTCGTGTAAATTGGACGTATTTCTGCCAAACGGAACTACATAATGTGTATTATGACGTGAGCTCTGTTATGTATATATTCTTATGGGTCTCGGGGCTCATGTCTTAATACACATAGCTCCGTTTGGCAGAAATACGTCCAATTAATACAGCTACTATAATGTTGATTTAGTGCAATGCCATAACTTCAACCGCGTGCTGATCATCTCGTCAAAATTGGGGCTCTGACCTCCTAGGGACGTATCGCCCGTAGATGGCGCCATTTTAAAATCGGAGAAGTGCCCTTTCCGATTAAGCACTCGTTCGCCCATACTACATCGGCATAGGCCATTCTAAGAAATGACCTAGTATGTTAAAAATTATATTCTCGCCATTTCGATGGCTATTGAAATGGATAGTAAAAATTGATCATGACTCACACCACACTCTCTTAAAGAGGCATGAAGGGCCTTGCCGTCTTTCATTAATCGATGCTGCGTCAGTTATAAGTACATAACTTTTCTGTTTTCTTTCACCTGTAGTAATTGACTTGTTGGATATGCTAGGTTTAAGTTTGACAGATTCATTTGACGGGCTTGGAGGACAAGGCGCATGAATTCAGTTTTTACTATTTCGAAAAATTCGTGTTCAGAGGTTTGAAAGTACACGGACATTTACGGCGGAAAGGAGGTTAAAACTGATTTTCTGATGCTTAAAAATTGGATTCTGGGAGCGAATTTTTCATGGAATATGCATTAAGACTAGTTTTACTTGAAATCATTGATATCTACATTTTTTCAAAACTGCACTCATGCGCCTTGTCCTCCAAGGCCCCTCATTTATCCAGCCGCTTGACTTAGACAGTCTGATGAAGCTTCTTCTATACTCTCTAGCAGCAGGATAATACTGCCGTGCGAAGGTAGAACGCCGTATGAACATTCAAAAGTTGCCAAATTTCCATTGATAAAACATTTTTAGTGACGACATGTATGCATATTTTACCTTAAAAGTTTCTGATATTTTAGATTAAATTGCGTAAAAAATTGTCTGAAACTTTTGGAAAAAAATATTCACAATTTTCCAGATAAGTTCGATTATTATTGAAGGAAACTTGGCAACGTCTAAAGGCTCATACGGCGTTTAGTTCTTCATTAGCACGGCAGTACACCTCAAAAACACGGTGTACACTCCGGCAGGCGCAGCGTAGGCAATCTGCACGTCGAAACGTATGTGTTTAGGTGTAGCGTTTGAAGTACAGTGGATATCGGATATACCGACATCGGTTATAACGACATATCGGGCATAACGACGTAAACTGGTCGGTCCCGGCTGAAATCCCATTCATTCAATGTATTTATGTATCGGTTATAACGACATCGCATATAACGACATATCGGTCATAGCGACGGAGTTTTCGCGTCTCAACAGATGTGGTGATCGGTTATAACGACCTGAGCGACAGCAACAGAGGCCGAAGAAAGGAGGATCTCGTTTCCAGACGCCCTAGAAGCCATCACAACTGTTCAAAAATTCCTAATTTTGAACCCAGAATGGAACGATTCCACTTTATCACACTTTACGCTCGGCCCATAGAGCGTTACAAAAAGGGTACGCGAACACGATTGTGAAGCAAAAAGAAATCATGGACTATTATTCAAATTAGAAGTTTTATACTTCTTCGGTATTGCGCATATGTATTGCAAACATAATGTAGTGTGTAGTGCATGTATTCTCAATATTATAAAATACCTTCTTTTTACAAATTCAAGCAGAGTGTTTTAATTAAAATTAGTCCTAGAATAAAAAAATACATGAATTAAATAAATATTCAATTCAAATAAAATTAGATAAAGCTAATAAACAAAGGTGTTACTGAAGAGATAATGAATCAGCAGCAAAATTCACCGGGCCCTGGAATCCCACCTACAGCACAGCCTTGTTTTCAGCTCTTCAACATAGGGTACGTGCGTGAAAATTCCACTATCGGTTATAACGACTATCGGCTATAACGACCGAATATGGCTGGTCCCTTCAAGGTCGTTATATCCGATATCCACTGTATTTCCAGGAGGTTGAAGGCGCGAAGTCGGATGCCCGCAGGCGCGCCTTTTGTGGCTTGCGATAGTTCGAAATCCCGGTGTTCGCGAACATAAGCTGAAAGACGTAAGTACACGGCAGAATAGAACCGTAGATGTATTACCTTCTATTGTTGTTTAGCTCGTCGCTGGCTGTGGATCGGGGTGACGATTGCAACTGCAACTGCTGCTGGTAAATCTCATTTAATTGATGCTTGTCAGGGAGCCGCTGGCTCGTCAGGTTCCTCTTGGGGCGACTGTTGTACTTGATGCGACTCAACCAATTTTCACGACTCTCCTTCGACGGCCGCTTCCAGACCACCGAAACTACTTCGCCATCGATGACTCGACCTAAAATCCAACCCAACGAATTTATCACGTCATGAGCATTCATTCTTAACAACTATCTGATTACCAAACTCGTCGGGTGTTACGCACACGTCTTAACGGACGCGTTGGTGACAAGATATCGCCTTGATGCCTATTCAAGCTTTACGGATGTTCGTATCACATATCGATGGTCAGAGTACAATACCACGTATCTACATTGCGGTGTTTCAAAATTTCCGCTCCTATTAGCGGCTCTGGTGCTTGCACTCGAGCTGCTATTCCGGACGGTCCCAGCTGAGGAGTATCAACGGACCGTGTTACATTGGAGAGACCGCGTGTTGGTTGATGGGAATCGGCGCCATTTTCTGCTGTTTAGGGGGGACTGATTTTATTTTAATTGATATCTTTTTCCTGTGAGCGAATGCTATGTTGTGTAGTGTGTTTTTGGAATCATGGTGATACTGTCAATAATTCAAAACGGGTCTGTGCTTTAATCTCGCACTGGAAAAAATGTACTTTACGTTTAAAATTTGAAAATTCAAATCTATAAGTTTTCGCCCTTTTTTCGAAGAATGCCGTGGTTGGAGCTTCCTAGTCATACTACTCGACATCAGCTGATAGCAAACAAAGGTTACCAAGGAAACCGTAAACGCGTAACAACTACCTACCGTCGCCAGAGCCGCTTTCCGACGCGAATGCGTTGGAGCTTCCTGCTTGTTTTATTATTTCGATGGGAAGCAATCGAACGTTACAACTTAATTTGTATGCCAGATACTCTGCTAACAGAGATGAAAAATCACGGAGAAACATTTTACGTTGACTAGTTATCCCGAAGAAAAAATAGATTTTGACAAGTAATCTGCAACGTCGCAAACGGAGATACGTGGTCTCTCAATTTGGTCAGAAAACTGAAGGCATTTCGGCTCTTTTCGCACCGATTATATTCGTCCGTAACAAGAAGACTAGGACGCGCCGACAACGGCGCCTCGATACAACTATACAACCTCGACGGATGTCCGATATTGCGTTCAACAAATTGAAGGCGTTTTGAATTTCAGCGCACTGACTGCAGCGCTTGATTAAACTTGGACCGAGGCGAGGTAGGTATGCCTTTCTAATCATGCCCGCATAGCTCTAATTTGGACGTATACCTGCCAAACGGAACTATGTGCATTAAGACATGAGCCCTGAGGCGCATAAGAATATATGCATGATAGGACTCACGTCATAATGCACATAGATCTGTTTGGCAGAAATACGTCCATTTCAAATCCGCGCAAAGTTGCGATTTGCTTCTTTAAAAAAGCTCAAGGAACACAGCAACGATCATATTGAAACAATTTTTGACGGAATAAAATTGATTTTTTTCCCCACCATAGGGCACCATAAAGCATTCTTTTCACAAAATTCGGTCTTTAAGTTACGGTTTTAAACGATCAAGAAAAGTGGTTCCATGCAAGTGCGAGAGAGGTAGGTAATTTACATTGCAAAAAAATAGCACCTCATTTTAATTTTATTGCAATAACTTTCAATGAAAGAAGCCGGGATCCCTTTTAATTCGTGAAAAGACGACGCATACAACACTCCGATACAATGCAATGGTGTAAGTCCGCAATCATTTATCTCGTTTGCGATGTCTGTAAATCTCTGCCCTTGTGTTATTTTTTGAAAGGAGAACAAATGGACATCATTCCTTGAAGTTTTTGCAGAATTTTCTCCGCATAGAGAAGAAAAATCTCGGCAGTTTCAAAAAATTGCCGTTGAGTAGTTTCCCGTTTAAAAAATAAAATATGACAGGAAGTCTCCGACGTCGCAAACCGAGTTATGTGATTGCCGACTTACACCGTAGAATAGCAATAATTTAACAGCGCCAAATGATAAGTTATTCGGCAAGAGTGCGACACTGAAAAATTCATCTGTAATTGCACTGATTTTCACACACGACCGGAATGTTCGCCATGACATTAAATAATTAATGGACAAAAATTAATCTTGTGTAAGTATCTGCGAGAAAAAAAAAAATTCGGTTGAATGTGTCGCAAACAGTTAGCAATCGCTGGAAAGTTCAATCTGACGGTGTTGAATAAAAATATGTGTAAATTTACAGATAAGATAGAGGGAAGTATGCACTGATTAATATACATCGAATTCAAACTGACGTTTATTTTCCTCAAGTGCATTTTACTAGCGAGCATCCTCACAAGGGCGTTGAGTGAAGCCAGTGACCTAAGTTGGGTTCGGTTAGTAGGCAACTAAACTTACTGTATAGTAACTAACTACATAGCAAACCGTATAGTATCACTGGGATTTGAAGGCGCTCCGAGCTGAGATCGTACTTTTGAAGCTTTTTGCAATTTCTGCAGATAAAATGTTTATTGAGAAAATTGCACGGCAGTGCAGGATATACTTGCACAGAAGCATAAGTTAGGGTGTCTACTAAAACAGGCTGACCAAAATTCAGTACTTTTACAATACTTTTTCAGTATATTCCCAAGAAATTCAGTACCTCCTCAGCGGGAAAATTCAGTACTTAATCAGTGCCTCCAATCGACGAAATTCGAAAGATTTCAAAAATTTGAATTTCTCGCTCATATTGCTCAAAAATGTCAAAAAAATGAAAAATTCCAGACCCTCTGACGGCATTTCCGCACTTTTTTTGTAGTTCCAGACCGCTCTCAAAATATCAGTACTATTTCCGGAAATCCCGGACTTGTATAGGCACCCTGTTGATTTACAAAGAAACGGTATACATCTGTCAGCATACAAAGAAATAACTTACCATCTAGTTCTTGAAGCACTTTATCGGCGGCTTTCTTACAGCTGAAATGAACAAAAGCGAAATCTTTCACTTTTTTAATGCGGGTCACATATTGCAGAGGCACTATATTGGCTATGATCTGTTTCAAACGCTCCTCGGTCGTCTCGTCGGCTAAATTTCGCACGTACAAGTCCGTCATCTGCAAAATACGGAGACAAATTTACAATGATTTCAATAATTTATTTAAGAGCAAAGATAATCAAAATCAAAGTCATTGCTATTAAAGGAAGTTACTGGCCAAATAATTCCCTGACCAAGACGTAAAAGTTCATTTTGACTTTTCTTCAAATTACCAGTAGGTCTAAAACTGCTGTACTGACTTTCTTCTATAGCTCAAAAAAAAAAAAAAAAAACAATTCGTAGCTCCTTCAAAAAAGCGACTGTTCCGAGAGTATTCCTTACACCTCCTAACGAGAGGGCGAAGGAATTTCAGTGGCGTGGCGTGCTTTGCAATATATCGATTGATCTGTTATTCAAACCTATGGAAAAGGATCGACAAACAAGGTGTTCGCTACTCACGCATCAAAAATAGATTCTCCACCATAGCTTAAAATGGAAAAATATCGAAAATCGACCATTCACGCCTGCGGGTCGATTGTTGAGTCGTTATCGAATGACCTTGATCGATATATTGCATTGTGAAGATAGGGATTTATCGATCGAGATCATTCGATAACGATTCAACAATCGACCTGCTGGTAGGTAAGTCAGAATCGGTCTTACTCGTTAAAATGACGGAATATTAATTCCATTTTATTTCTCACTGAAAACTTTGTCCTGAAGCATAAGAGGATATGCTGGTCTTTGATTAGATTATTCCAAAAGAGGAAAAGCTGAGGCGCTTATTGACGAAAGGACCTAAGCGACAAAAACTCAAAAGCCTTGGGGGTCGGAACAAATAGTGGGAGTCAAGGCTCATGAGCTCAAGAGTGCAGAATGTTTACGAACCAACGCCCGATCGGTCGTCCGCAGGAAAAATTGCATGGGCTCCGACCTTGAAAAATGGATGGTATAACATTGACTACGTTTTCATCAAAATGCGCTTCATTTTTACGTGCACCCTGCGAAGTTGTGTACGCGCGATGCCCTACGCACCGAACTGCTAAGTCGCTATTTCCGTGACTCAGAGATTTTAACGCGGTGTAAAAAAGTTGGATGGGGTGGGGCGAAAAGCGTGATACAGCTATTTCGACTTCCAAGTAGGTAAAATTGCATGTCCACGAAATGAAGGAGAATGTTAACTCTTTTTAGCTGACTTAGAGACTTTAACGCACGAATTGAGATGCTGGATGGGGCGAAACGCGTGATACAACTATTTCGACTCCCAAATAGGTCAAATTGCATATTCACGAAATACAGGAGAATGTGAACTTTTTTCAGCTGACTTGGAGACTTTAACGCACGGATTGAGATGATGGATGGGGCAAAACAAGTTTAGTGATACTAATCTATCTTTTGAAATCCCAGAAAAGATAAAATCGCATAAAAGGAGAGCATGGTGTTCTACATATCATTCCAACTATTCAGTTCGTCAAACTCAACTTTCAGTTTTTGTAACCGAATGTTCGGTTCGTATAACCGAACCTGTGAGGTCAAAAGAAATGACGACTTTCGGGTACATGAACTACGCTCGGTTAAATAAATCAAATAATCGGGTTTATTCGAAAGATTCAATCCTCAACGCACTGATTTTTGAAAATACAAGTATGAACAGTATATGTTGATGCGAAGATTACAAAACTAGAGCAAAAACGTTGAATTTTAGAGAGATTTAATTTAATTTTTAAGTTTTTAGAATATGAATGCGATTCACCGCCAATAAGTTCCCTCCTGTAACTCCTCTCTAAATTATGGGCTCAAGCAGAGATGCAAAATGGAATGCTGAAAATTGGAACTTCCATGATTCTCAGAGGCTGCGTTTGCAACCTGCAACAATTGGACGTATTTCTGCCAAACGGAACTATGTGCATTATAGCGTGAGACTTGCTATGTATAATATATTATAATGGGTCTCAGGGCTCATGTCTTAATGCACACAGATCCGTTTGGCAGAAATACGTCCAATTATTCGAGAGTTCGTTAAGAAACTTCGAAATACGAAATTCAACTCATGATATTTTTCTTCGTCAAAACCTTCATTGTTTCCATGCGTTTCATGGGAGAGATAAGTACTGATTGTGAGTTCATTGAGTTTTAAAATATTTCATGAAATAACATTATGAAAAATCTTTCGAGGAGTTTCGTGAAATTTTGCGTCTCTGGGCATAAATGAGCACACTGGAAAAAAAGTCGCTTGGATCTGGAGTCCAGATTCTTAAAAACATTGACAAGACAAAATACTTTTGCTTCAATTGGAATTTTGCTTGAACCAAATCCGCTTACATCCAGAGGCTCAGCTCTTGGATTCAAGGAAAAATCCGATTGAATCAAGAGTATTTTCTCTTGTCCATGTTATTAAGAGTCTGGACTCTAGATCCAAGCGACTTTTTTTCCCAGTGTCTTATTTGTATTTGTAGTGGTGCTTCGAAGGCTACATGAGTAACACATCCGTAAATAGAAGAAACGTATTCGAGCCTCGTTTTTAACTTTTTCCCCCGAATCTGAGCGACACTTTATCGGCAGCATGGAGCGGAGCATTGCAAGTTCAAGCCTCGTGCCATGGCGCCTTCAATTTTGCAGATGCAACACGGGCATGCATCAAGTACGAATAGTTGTATCTCTGCGCCGTCGTCAACAAGCGTCCTTTCCATTGATTCCCTTGCTCTTGTCCTTTTTTGTGGGTTTCTACACTCTTACTTACTCTTCTCCCGTTCATTCACGAATTATTTTCCGCGACTTTTTTCTCCAGTGCATGAACGAAAGTGTAGCTTATTCTAGAGTCCCTTTATACTGAGAGTCAAGACAATTCGGCTCATGGATGTCACAAACGGGAATAAAGATTACAGAAATTGAACGTTTTTCGTAATCTTTGATCGGCCCATTCTCAAATGCCTTTCTCCGTTCCTCCTTTCATTCCGTTTGTTCCTTGCCGAACCCGTGATTCCCTGGTCCATTCCAGATTATAATCTTTGCAATTGGTGAAAATGTAATCTTTATTCCCGTTTGTGACACTGTGGAGGCCTAAAATACGGGAACCAATCAGAAATGGATTCAAATTGTCTTGACTCTCAGTATAAAGGGATTCTAGCTTATTCTAGAGTGGCGACCGGGGTGGAGAGGTGTTGAACCAGCGACATTCGCACATCATACCCTGGGGCCACCGGTATTTTGGAGGGCCAGGGGGGACCCCTAGCGGGGAGAGGAGCCGCCAAAGAGTGGTTGCGCCGCTCGTCGGTGTGATGACTTTGTAGTCGATTCGGCGGTTCGGGCAGTAGTGGCACATGTGAGCGCGGCGCGCGGCGGCGGCGGCGTGCCGATAAGAAACCGGCGCCCGCGCCACGCCGGATGCCTCTCTTCTACATTGTAGCTCGCTCGGGACTTTTGATGCTGAGTTGCGTTTTCGCGCTCCAAGGTGGCCTGCCCGTCGCACAGCGGATTGAGTCCTGAGACAAGAGACCCTCCACTAGTATCTTGGCCACGGTGGAAGCTAAAAGCCCTGGATAGACGATCGAATTCCGAACCGATTCCGGTCAAAGTAGACATGCTGATGACTGATGGTCACCATCTACCATCAAATTTTGACCGGCCGCATTTATTTGCTCAAAGTAAGATCAGAATAGAGTGCCATCATTCGTCATTTCCTGCCACAGGAAACATTTCTGCCAAGTTTTCATTTTAAAATGAAGCGATTTAATGAGTTTAAGACTGATGACTCCCGACACTTTGATGCTACTTTGATCGGAATTGGTTCGGGAATTTGATCGTCTATCCAGGTCTTTACTTTCGGGACTTCGGCATTCTACAGTTGGCTTACCTACATGGTTCAACAACGTTTTTGGCAGTTTCGTTTTGTAAACAAGCCGAAAATGGCCGAAGTTTGGGAAACTTGTTTGGCTCATGACGTAACCCGAAGCTCATCGTCCACCATGTACCATGTAGGTAGGTCAACAGCCGAAATTAGGGTAATGACTGCTGTTCCCTTATAATGGGACGTATTTTTGCTAAATGGTACTATGTGCAAGTGGAAAGATGGGGTGTGCTCGTTAGTGATCGGGCAATAAGAATGAATGGGACTTTAAAAGCGCCAGTGACGTCAGTGGCAACGACCCGGACCGGGCGGGACGGGGAGACCGGTAACGGGACCCTTAAACTCATGAGCCCTGTCCACAAGGCTTTTGTCACATGCCCACAGCTCACGAGTTAGCCCTCAGTTCCTTTTGATTTAATATCAAATCCCGCTGTTCCATTTTCTCAAAAGGAACTATACCCACTTTTACATTCTTTCTTATGCAGCTTCCACGAGCACATCCCATCTTTCCACTAGCGCATAGTCCCTTTCCGCATAAATACGTCCGATTGACCACAAGAAATTGTTGAATCCCCGAAAGTAAAATCTTCCACCTGTCGCCAGGAGGCCAGTGGAGGGTCTCTTGTCTCTGGTCGAGTCAGTGGGAGAGATTGGACAAAATCTGGGAACTTTGAAAGCTCAAATTTTTAAAAGTATGAAGTAAAACGTTTGAGTGTAGTTTCATTGGTTTTTGGCGACATTTCCTTTCAGAAACACCCTTTGTAAAGGAATTTGTGGCAAAATAAACATTCAAATTTGAAATTTAAATAAAAAATTTCGAGTCCGATCTCTTCTGACTGACTCGATCCACTGTGCGCCGGCTCCTGACTCGCATGCGGTGCCGGGAATGCCGGGTCATCATTTCGATACATCATCGATCGTTTTCGATACACGGGCCCTACTCAGCCACCCGATGTAAAAAAGGAGGTCATGAATAGGTCAAGTATTAAGCATCATCATTTTTGATGGAAAATGAATCGAAAAAGTGACCGAATCTCGACGCACACCGGGCTTGAAACTTGTCGACCAAAATATGACCCCTCCTCACTTCATTTTATTACGAGTCTATATGCAAAATACTGTACACAACGATTTCATGCAACAGTAGACCTTTGTGTTGAGTGAAAAGCTTTTCCCCTAGAAAAATCCTGCTGTCATTCCTCGAATTTTGCGAAATTTGCCAAAATCTAGTAGATTTTCGATTTTTCACCCAACACAGAACGACAGCCCCAGCGCATGAGATGAAGAATCCGTCACTTTCCGGCCAAAGTATCACAAGCGCCATGCGACGTTTCAAAATTTCCGCAGCTATTCTTTTATTTACAGAGGAGTATTCAATAAAGTTGTCCAAAAATTTTACTGTATTTTCTTCATGCTGCCGATAAAATTCAGAGAAATTTTCAAACAGATTTAACTGACAATTCCTTTGGAAAAAAATAAAATGGCGGCGGAAATTGTTAAACGTCGCATGGCGCTTGCGATACTTTGGCCGAAAGGTGACGAATTCTTCTCAAATGCAAAAATTGCAAAATTCAGAAAACTGAAAGCAGGATCCATTTTGGAAAAAAACCTATTAATCGATTCAGAGGACGATTAAGTACTAGATCGAATAAAAAGTTAAATTCCTAACAGAATCTTTCTTTTGGCTCTCCAAACTATGCCAATTTTTGTTGGGAACGATTCTTTAGGCTCATCAAGCGCTGGGACTATCGCCCTTTCTGTGGCTAGAAAGTCAAAATCTGCAATTTTTTATTTAATTGATCAATTCGATGTATGGCAAGTTAGGTACCTCCCCGACGCAAGAATCCAGAACGAGGTGTTACCCTAACAGTAAATCATACTTTTAAACTAGGTAATGCCGTTAAATTTTTCCATAAATGAATTTTTATTCGATTTTATCAAAAATCGCCGATGAACTCACATTCCTAGGTTCTAAGTATTTTATTTCGTTTCAGGGCAGGATTAGCGTTTAGGGGCTCGGGATGTTGTCGAGACGGGTAAATGAGCGCTCTATACTTTATAAATTGAAGGCGGTTCACGATTCCAGGAAATAGAAGGGTCCCAGGTCCCTTACTTTGGTCAAAGGAGATTGAAATATACTGATTTCAGAGCCTTGGGGCCCCTGTGAAAGAGTTGCAGTTTTTGAGGGGCCAAACAAATCATAATTACTGAAATCATAAAAAAACATTCTGGACCCACCCCCTTAAAAAGGAAACAATTTCTGGACTACAGGTTTCAGGGGCCCCTGAAAGATAAAATTTAGGGGCTTGGAGGACAAGGCGCATAAGTGCAGTTTTTGCCATTTTGAGAAACACGTGTTGGAAGTGCCGAAATTACAGGGATCCTTATGGCGGATAGAAAGTTCAAACAGACTTTTGGATACTTAAAAATTGGAATTCGGGAGCGAATTTCTCACAGAATATGCATTATTAAGACTAGTTTTACTTGAAACCATCAACATCTTAATTTTTCAAAAAACTGCACTTCGACGCCTTGTCCTCGAAGCCTCACGACTACGTGCAGGGTGGCAAAATTTCATGAAAAATAAAATCTTGAAATTTCATGTGAAATATTTCATGAAATTTCATAAATTTATGAAAGATATTGAAAAATACCGGTTTCTTTTCATGTTTTGCAAAATGTAAAAATTGTAACTTTCTTCTGTTTTTATGTGTTAAGTCCGGGTTGCATATGTACTCTGGCCCCTGAAAAATACGAAATATTTCACAGCCCCGTGAAATTTCATGAAATATTTCACTGAAATTTCCAATCGTCCGTTTCTTCCTTACGTTTAATGCCACCCTGACGATATGGTGCATGAAAGGCTAAGCTCATATGATACTTCATGCTCCTGGTGGGTCCACAAGTCAGAGGAATGAAAACAGTTTAAAAGGTAAGTTGCTTTTAAAGTCGTTCAGATTTTTACCTTGACAAGTTCGTCATCCTCGATGAAATCAGGTTCCGGCTCAGCCCAATCAACGATGAGATGTCGGCCCCAATATCCAACCTTCTCCGGGATCATGTGTCGTCTGGCGATGGCAGCTTGACGGTGGTTGTGAAACTCCAAAAAGCAGAAACCTCGATTCTTCTTGCGATTACTCACGTTCTTGTATAGAATAACGTCCTTCAACCCGGACACACTATTCGAGAGCAACTGCATGACCTCCTCGCGCGTTTTGTCATTCGGGATTCCGCCCAGAAAAAGTCTGCAGTTATCAACGGAAATGGCCACCGAAATCTTATGACCCGGCCGAATTTCGTAATCGTTAAAAACACTGATGGCCATCTTGGCTTCGGCCACGGTCGCATAGCGGATAAAACAGTATCCTTTATTGTAGCTATTGAACTCCATCATAAGCCGAGTTTCGTAAATGCGACCGACTTTCTCGAACAACGGAATCAGTTCGAACTCGAAGCAATCTTGGGGCAACTCTGAGACGTGAACTTCGGTGCCTTTGGGGGGTGGAGGACCCTCCCATCCTGGTGGAGGTCCACCGTATTTCCGCTGACCGTTCTCTTGTATGCAATGAGCGCCTCTTTGATCAATAAAGTCCACGGATTTCGCGTTCAAAGCAGCCAGTCTGTCTTCATTAGGCATCATTGTGCGAGGTAAGATTGAAAAATAGTCGGGTAAAAACACAAATACCAGGATTTAAAATGTAGGGTAGATTAAATCCGAAGCTAAAATGAGGTTAAAAAGACATGTAAAACATCCGATTGCCAACGAGAGAAGTAAACAAGTTCAGCGCGAAGAAACAAAGAGTTAATTAGGACCGCTAAATCAAAGGGTTGAGCTACGTGGAGACAGCGCGGCAACACCAAGACACTGACCGCATTCTCAGAATTCGGACGCGAGCGCTGGAGTGGGGGTACCGGTTCCAGGAATCGGCAGGGAGGAAAATGATTTCGGCCAATCAGCATCGAGTTCATCGTCTGCGCTTTCGTCGGGCTATTTTTAGATCACGTTCGCACTACCCAGACAGCGAGCCGCTGATATATCGAAGCTTTCTCGCCACCTGCGCACCTGTCTCAAGGTCGGAAGACACCATCCCTCAATGTTTCGATTAATGTGATTCGACGGTTGCCATTTTCGTGTCAGAGCGACGTTCGATAAATCGCATCAATTCGTTCCATAATTTCGGCTACTTGTCATTTTTTTCGAATTTTGAGATCGCACTTCTGTTGTCATGAGACTAAAGAATTCATATACCAAATTTGACCAAGAAATTCAACGTATTAAAGGCGTGCTTTTTTTAGAGAGAAAATGTCGCATTCGAGTACCGTTTCGAGACAGTATCGAATGCTATATGTTTCCTCTTAAAAAACCCTGCCTTTATTACGTTGAACTTGGTCCAATTTGGTACATGAATTATTTAGTCTCATGACAACAGAAGTGCGACCTCAAAATTCGAAAAAAATGACATGTAGCTGGAATCATGGAACGAATTTATGCGATAAATCGCACGTCGCTCTAACCAAAAAAATGATAACCATCGAATCACCTAAATTATTGCTTTTGCCCCAAGTGTAGATGAACCAAAGGCAGTGTTCCTTTGGCATTAAAAATTTGAAAAAATATTCGATTCATCGTTCGAAAGACCGAACGGACTACTTGCGATTGGTCGAGGTTTTTGATCAAGTTTTGGCGATTAATAGAAGCGGTTTGAAATTATATTCTTGCATAAGATTCAATTTAAAAAGGAAACATTGACTCCTTTTTCTCAAAGTAATAATTTTCAGTAATATAAAATCTTAACAATTTTCTCAAAAATCTCAATAATTTTGCTCAACTCACACTTCGGAACAAATAGGAGCAAAAAAGGAAGAAAATTTTGTTAATAAGGGAGTTTTGTCAGTTGATGAAGAGGATTTTTTTTTTAAAGAATGAACACCTTTAAATAGGTCTCCTAGGAAACTTTTCCGCATAATTTGAAAATCTATGTCCTTCGCATTTGAATTTTTTCGCAATATTCCCCTCCCCAAGGTTTATAAGATTTTCTTTCATCAATTAGAGTAACGGAGAGAGGCTCGCTAAAAAAAATCAGAGTTTTTCTGTTTCGTGAATTTTAGCTTTTTGGGGCTTATTCTGCCGTGCTAAGGAAGAACGCCGTATTAACCTTCAGGCGTTGCCAAATTTCCTCTGATGACACACAAATTTCCCAGTAAATGAATGAATTTTTCCAATCATTTTTTAAGGTAATTTTGTACGCAATTTCACCTAAAGTTCCTGAAAGTTTTAAGGGAAAATATTCATAACTTTCCTAAAAAATAAACATTTTATCGAAGGAAATGTGGCAACTCTCGAATGTTCATACGGCGTTCTTCCTTAGCACGGCAGTATTGCGCTCTGGCGAGGCGAATAATTATGTACCTTCTCGAAAATCACATCGTACTCCGCTAATCCCCCTTTTAAACGTGGGAAGTCGGCATTTTCCGGCGACAGTTTTACCAAATAGTTGTGTTGATTTTTTTTTTTTTTTTTTTTTTTTTTTTTTTTTTTTTTTTTTTNTTTTTTTTTTTTTTTTTTTTTTTTTTTTTTTTTTTTTTTTTTTTTTTTTTTTAAAATAAACGTTGCGAAGAATCATTGGCTAATATAGAAGAAAAATCAAAGAAGTTTTCAAGCAATTATGTTGACTAAAATAAAGGATGACAGGAAGTTTGCAGCATGGGCGTGCGAAGGGTAACCAGGGGGGCCTCCCGAGAATTGAAAATAGTATCATCTACCCCCCCCCCCCCCAGAAATTCTGGATTGTGGAAAACACCTTCTTCGAGTAAATGTATTTCTGTGTATTTATGTATGGAGAGTTTTAAATGAAAACACCGTTTCATTCATTTGGTGTTTGCTAGAATTTTCGTTACGGAAACCTGAAAATGGGTCCAAGTTTAGAGGTAAAATTTCAAAAATTTCCCAAATTTGTTGAGTGCAGCAATTCGAACGTATTTACTTAGTGCTGAAAATAAAAAAAAGGTAATTTTTCCGCAGAAATTGATGGAAAATCTGCGTCACGGAAGCCTCAAAATCCGTCCAAATACCTAGATTTAAAATTTCATACCGCAGGCCTGGGCTGGGGCGTATTTCATACCGCAGGAAGGGCCAGGCTTCCCTGGCAAAATGACCTAAGTATGCCAATGGTCTACAGCATCACAAATGGAGGTACGTGCTTTTACACTCCATTTAATGGTAAATATTCTCGCAACTTGCTTGCAATTAGCTGAATGGAGAATTTGCATGCAAATTTTTTATTGCTTCATCTGAAAGTGCTTAAAGAGCTGACTTCACATTATCTTTCGTAGTTTCTTTCTAATATGGGGAATAGTCTAAAAATATATTTAAGAGTAAGAAAATGCACCGCCTAATGACGTCATCTGGCGGCATTTCCCCTTTAAACACACGTATTTTAGCAGATTAGATTATTTGGTCATATCTTCTCCAATAATTGTTCAATTCATGAGCCAAGGGTATCCTTGTGTTCAGTTTGCTCAGAGGTTTCCACTTAACCACGAAATTCATCAAATTTCAGACACCTGCAAATTCTCTATCGGAAAAATGGAGAATTTGCAGGTGTCTGAAATTTTGTGAATTTCATCTCTAAAATGATACTGCTAGGAAATCTGAGTACGAGGATATCCTTGGTTTCTAAATTGAATAATAAATTATTGGATGGGATATGACAGAATAACCTAATCTGCTAAAGTACCATTGTTTATATGGAAAATGCCGCCAGATGACGTTATAAAGCGGCACATTTTCTCACTTTTAAATAAAGTTTTCTCCAATTTCCCATGTCAGAAAAATACAATGAAAAATACTGCGAACTCAGCTCATTAGGCAATCTCAGATGAAGCAATAAAACTTTTGTGGGCAAATTCTCCATTATGAATCGCTCTGTTACGTATGACGTAGTCGGTAAAATCAGTCTATGGAGGGCCCCTCCTTGTCTCTAGAATAGCTCCACCCCAACCGCCAATCGAATGACCGGTGCGTGTGAGATACGTTCTTTTACAGACCAGCATCAATTCCACAGTCTCCATATCGTCGGGCAAGGCGGATAAATAAGGTAAATCATGGGGAAGTAAGTGCATAAAATCCACGACACGCCCGAATACATCGAGCGCCGAGGAGCGGTGACGCCGGGACGCCGACCGAGGTAAATACAGATTCAAGGATCGAATAAAGGCGAGCGCGGTGCGCCTCAGGAAACTTAATAAAAGTCACATGAAAATCAGGTTATGCTCGCCGGGACGGCGCACAGTGCGGCACTCTGTGGACAAAAATAAAAAATTCACAACTCGACAATTGAATATTTTTTTTGAGTTTGTCATCTTAAAGATATTTCTAAGTCACAATGATGGTTCATTTTCAAATTTTTCGCTAAAATTACTTGAAATTTGGGTAGAAAAAGGGCGGGAAATGTGTCGAGAATCACTGGTCAATGAGAAATACACGGGGAAAAGACGTCAACTTCAAATGAAGGTTTCTCACTTGAAACAAAAAATGCTCCAGGCTGCGATAGGATTGCGCGAATGCCCCCATTTTTACCTTTTTTGAGATGCACAGGATTGCGCGAATTTTTCTGGTACTGAAAACTCACATGTTTGCGCGAATATTCAATATTCAACGAGGAGGCGTTTTTCTGGCAACCTTGGTAGTTTATGGCAGATAACTACATCGTGGAAGACTATCCATTCCGTCCTCATTTACGGGCATGTCTCTCTCCGATGGATATCCCTCGCAGCACAAATGGCCCAGAGAGCTTTCATAGACTTTAAAAAGTAAGCCAGGGACCTGCGACCGCAACGCGGCCACCACCTACTGAAAAAAGCTACGAGTAAAAAATCGTAGAACAACCATGTTCAAGTTTTTTAAGAGATGAATGAATTCAAACCCCGACGGGTATGCACCCGAAAGGAAGCGTATATTTATCTCTGATTGCAGCGTTATGCACCACTTCTACGTTATATTTTTAATAAATGTTTTTAAAAAGCTACACACAGTTTTTCTCAATAGTTTCCGCGCATTTGCTTAAGTGATACCAAATAAAGGTATCGAAAATTTCGACACGACCTTTTCGTTCGTTCTATTTTCTGTTAATGTGACCCAAAAAAATTAAATATCATCCGAGTTTCTGAATCGTCACAATGAGGATACATATTTTCCTTTCAATTATGGTAAAAACTAAACCAGAAAGTCAAAAATTATGTAGGCGGGCGCTGATATGCGTTTCACATCAACTGATCGACTGCAGTGAGTTGGGCGCAATGCGAGAAGTATTCATGCTGTCTTGTAGGCGCTAATATGGGCGGTGCGCAGATCGCACGGTTTTGTGCAATGCGAGAAGTATTCCTAAAGTCTTGCAGGCGCTAACATATGTTTAACGCCTGCCGCGTTGTATTTGGCGCGATTATTTGAACTCGCGTCAGAATAATCGTGGCATCGAATGATAGGGCTTTAACGGCTTATGTTAAGCCAACGCCGTACGCGCATTCCAACGTTGCCTCGTTTCTTTCGATTAAATATTTTTCCGAGAAAAGTTAGGATAGTTCTTTATACCCACGACCATTATTAAATCTTTTCACTTCATTTATCACCTGAAGGTGAGACATCGATGACTTGTCAAAATACACTTATTTTCCAACTGTTTCCTGTTTTGCCAAACTTCTACCTTAAATTAAATTCATTTTAAATTCGCGCATTCCTGTAGCGGCTTCTATTCGCGCAATCCCTGTGCCTTCCTCACGCAATCCTTATATATTTTCCTCGATCTTTCGCGCAATCTTGGATTACCGATGCTCCAGGTGGTTGACATT